ATTATATTATAATGGGAAGGGTATTTTAACATCTGCAATAATGACAACTTGAATACTCGATAAATTGAAGTCAGTTGTTCAATCAATAGAGCTATTAGTTTGGCCTACTCTGCCTTCTTTTTACAACATGCAATATGGAGTAATCCCAAAAAATTTCAGAAGACCTCATAAGGAATAAGAAGAACATTTAAAGAATGATGTCAGTGGGAGGTTATCATAAAGAAAACCACTGCTTTTTCACTAAAAAATCCCATCTCTAGTAAATACCATAAAGATGTTCTAGGACTCTAGCGAAGCAATGTTTGAAGGACTGGTGAGACTGAAGCTAAAAAGGAAATGCATACCTTATGTTTGGTGATAACAGAATACTGTGTGCCAACATCAAAGCCTCATTCCAAATGACAAAAATACACTTCTCACAAAAAAATACAAACTTAAAATTCTGTTTTTAATTTCAATAGGATTGATGAAACTCACAGCTGAGTTAAATCAACCTTCTTTCTAAACTGTTACCCTAGGAGATCCGAGGAGGGGGGGTGGGGGCTTACAGAACCAGAATCAAAAAGCATGATTTTCAGCATGGCTGTGATGAGAACCTGAATGTTTTCAGATTCTTGCAATTTAAAGTAGGCATGCATTATTTGTTGTGGTTTAGCGAGAAATGTATGTACTCTGGGCTGCTTACATTTAATAGTCCATCTGCTCAATTCCGAGCCGAGCTTATTTTATTTGCTGGAGTTCGGCTGTCATGTAACCCTATAGAGTTGCAGAACCAGAGGCCCCCTGAGAGATCAACAGAAAGAGAGGAACATCTTGACACAACTCTAGATGACATATGAGAGAGTTTGGTAGACTGTTACCCTTCTCTGTCGCTCTTAACAAGAGTAGGACAGGCTCTTGCAGTGTTTATTTCAAAGGATAGAGGCACTTTGGATTGTGGGATGACAGGGAAGTGGGGGCATGGCAGGGCTCTGTGTAGCCCAACACACTTCTATGAGGCACACTGGGGTTAGGCTGCAATTAAGGGTCAGTGAATGACTTATTTGGGTGTGAAAAGTTTAGCAGATGTAATGTGAAACACTTGCAGATTACCTTATTCATACTGAAAATCTGTGTATCGAAATTGTGGTAAACCTCCAGTGCCAAAAACTAAGCCAACTATTAGCAGCAGAAAGGTAACTAGTGTTGACATATTACCAGCAAAATCATTGGTGGATAGTTAAGAGAACTATACTATACTATCCTCCTCACGTGACCCAGAGCTCAGCCCGTGATATACTGAGAGCGCCACAGTCGGGACAGATCTTCCTTGCAGGGAGTGGTGACTGACGGTCACTGCAGGAAGACGATGGGGAAGTGAGCGGATCGGCGCCATGTTTCTGCTCACTTCCCGATCGATAGAGCCGACCTGTGACGGCTTCTTTGTCACAAGTCAGCTTTAACTATGAGTATGAGTGGCAATCACTCACCTCGTAGTTCTTTAATGATAATAGGCTGAAACCTAGTTTGGAGTGCTTGTAGCAGATACTGTGTGAGCATTGAGACCCTGAACTCCATTTATGCTCAGACTGTGAATTTCTATTATCCAGAACATACATTTACATTGTTAGTAAGTTTTAAAGCATTGAGAGAGCAGAGAAATACAAGCACTAATGCTCTGAGGACCAAGGAATTGAGAAACTTGTCTGTCGCACTACATGAAGTTACTTTGGTCCCACATATTGTTGAGTATTTTTGTAACTTCTTTAATGCAAACATGCATATAAGTGGAATGCAGTAAAATAACACGTTTTCTAGTTATTAATTAATGGACATTGCAAAAGGGTTTATTAGAAGGCCATTTTTGGCGACGAGGGTCAACTTGAACAGTTATAAATTGCATAAATGAGACAAGTAGGCTAAAGCTCTAGCTGTTCTTTGCACAGCTTATGGGGTCATTGCTATTGCTGTTCTGTTGATGCCGTCTAACACATTTCAGGCACAGTGCCTAAGTAAAAGCAATTCCAGTCATAAAATTGATATAGAGAAGCTTGACAACACAGTGTTGTATAGGTCCTGTGCAGAGTCATTCTATATAGCTGCCTTTTACAGATAAAGCTGATCTTGTGAAAAGGCCATACCTCCCACAAATAATCCCTTCTCAGCTTACTGGAGGCCTTTAGAGACTGCACTCATACCAGTGTGGATGCCACAGAATTACCATAATTGGTACTAATAGCAGATAGCAGAAAAACACAGTGTGTGCTGGTTTTAAAAACAAACACTGTTTTGGTAGTATTCACTTGTTTTTGTCATGAATGATCTTTGCTGTAATTTTCTCACTACATATTACATGCCTACTATCCTAGCAGGGAAGAAAAAGCTCCGTGTGTGTGTGTAGATGGATATCTGTAAAATGTATCTTGGAGATGGTCAAACGTCTTTGTCTTGGTTGTAGTAGGAAGGTAAATGTCACGTTAAAGCATATGTCAAGGCAGAATAAACAAAAACACACAAATAGCACATCTCTGCAATACAATTGCAATCATTTTATATACTGCTAATATATTCTGCAGTGCTGTACAATCGTTTAGACAAGACATGTAATAAACATTGACAAACATCATTGACATACAGAAACAGTAGGTGAGGAGGACCCTGCCCAAATGAGCATATAGTCTAAGAGGAAGGGGACCAAAGACGCACAGGTTCATACAAGCACATTTCCCAATGTTTTATCCCGTTACAACATGCTTGAAGCCCATTTCCACCTTTTGCGGAGGCATTTAAAAAAAAAAAACATGCCAGCAATGTACACTGTGTACATGAAGCAGACATATCCAGTTGCTGTATATGAACACAAACTTGAGTTTCTTGTTAGTTTTCCTCTGCATATCCTCATGGAAATGGCAGCCTCTGTGCTCTGCAAGCAATGTGTAAGTTATACCTGAGCCCCCCCCCCATTCATTAGTATTCATAGTGGCAACCCCCCCAAAGTGTATTTTGTGTAAAGGCAGAGCTGGTGTTTAGTGATTGTGTTACACAGAATCACAGGCAGTGGGGCAGCTGTTTACAGCCTGCTTTACAATTAGACACTGGTGCCAGACTGAGTTTCCTGTGGAGAAAATGTTTAATTTGTAGGATTCAGGCCTAATAAAATGTTCATAAAAAAAAATGAAGAAAGCTTATAATGTGAGCCATGAACATGAGTCGTGAAGTGTCTTTTCTGCTGTGTTGTTGTCAGCATTGCCTATTTAATTTCAGGTGCATTAAAAAAGGACACATGCCCCTCCTTAACCCCCCTTCCCCTCATCCCCATAACCTCTCCTTTCTACAGAGTCAGAGAACACAGGTTCTGGCAGAATCAACATATTTCTTGCACTTCTAAAACTGCTATAACAAAACACTTTCAATGGTATATTTAGTAAGCCAAAAGGGAGCAGAGTTCATTGTTGGGGTTTAGATGCACTTTAATATTAAAGCTGATCAAAAGAAGCAGGAAGGCAGCCACGATTGAGCAGAATCTCCCAGCTACACTAGGCAATCTTCTGCATCTCTTGTCAAATTTGGTGCAGGAAGCTCCAACCTTCATCCATAAAGTAACAAACCAAAATCAATCATTTTTTCGTTTTTTTTTTTCCTGGAAAAAAACCAAGACATTTTTGTAGCCGTATGTGTAATTTGTTAATTGTACAAATGCTTTCTAGACTTCTAATTTTATTTATACTAATCTTTCAGCATATGGCATTGAAGGTTCTTATCACATTTTGTATGGTGTATTTTGAATGCAATAACGGAAGAGTGAGATGTTAATGGCGTAGACAGATAACTAATTTTCACACTGCTTTGTAATTTAATGAGGTTTGCATGAATAAGATGGATAGAGAAAAAATCCAAACGCAGCATTTAAAAAAATTTTTTTATCAGCACTGTTGCCACCTACTTATTTTTTTCCTGAGAGGCATGCAGAGGCTGCCACTGCTACTCCTCATTCTGCAAATGCTGGTTTCCTGGATGTCATGTTTACCCTCTTGCTTCAGTCTTTTGTGTCCCTTACCTGTCACACAAGCATGCAGATAGCGATGCCTTACTTTACAGATGCATACTTGTTTCAGGTTAGTGACTCAAACCTTATTGAACTCCGGTGATCAATTTACCAGCAAAATAATGTCAGAAGGGGATTGGCAATGTCTACCCCAATGTGTCTCAGGAAAGGTTTGTTTTAAAGTAGACCTATTGTTTGACAACATTCATAATCCTTGCTCTGGTTAATAAATGATCACAGAACCGAATTTGTACTTTGTATATTTGAGCTCTCTGGTCATCAGGTCTCTGGTAGTCCTCTACAAAGTATGTGAATGTGCATATAGGCACCCTTCAGGTGTCTGTTTTTACTTGACTGCGTTGGGTGTAGAAGCTTTAAAGTAAACATAGGTTCACTCTTTTTCCCCCTACTGCATATCTGGGCTCCTGCATGTGCAGGGAGCTCTGGCAAATGTTGAAGCACTGGTACATTAGCTCAACCAAAGAGGATTACTGTTTAAATAGAACAGCTGACTGGTTGGCTGAGCGGCGTCAGCCCCTCCCCCATTCAATGCAAGTAGAACTGAAGCCAATTTAACTGTATTGGCAAAGGCACACAGGCATAATTGCACTATTGTGGGTTAAGAAAATCTCATATTATAGATGTACATCTTTAAATGTAGTACTAACAGTGACTAGGATTAAGCTCAAAATAAAGCATCCTTGTTTACAAAGTACAGCAGTATATTGCAGCAAAGTGCACCATTTGCCTTACCTCAACTTCTTGTTTAGGTAGTATGATTTTTCGGTTGCATGCTGTTTAGAACAACTTGTCACTCAGGAATTAAGGCTAAATAATCATTACTCCTCCTGTAAGAACAAAAAAATAAAGCTTTTTGCTACATTGCCATACTAGGTTTGGTCAAATTTTTTGTGTATAATAATTTTATGCTTTATGTAAAATTATCATTTTGCTGATCTACTCTTTATGATTTTAGGAATGAAATCCTACCACCACGACTTTTCTGGTGAAGACATTCCCATGCAGATTTTGAAAACCAACCATCACCAAACTGTTGATTCTGAAGACACCAGCAACTGTGAAGATAACCAGAGTAAATTGGATGTGCAAAGACCTCCATTTGTGAAAAGCGAATTTTCTTCTGATTTAAAAGTACCAGCTCTCAATTACAACACAGACCCTCACAAAGCTATCCAGAACAGTAGTACCTTGATATCGGTGGTGCAAAATAACGCTGAGACTGTTGACACGAAAAAGCATTTGGCATCTGAGAAAATGCATCCAAACGGAATGGCACTTGATTTCCTTAAGGAACGTTCAGCACTAGACGCTACCAGTGTGGTTAAAGAAGGTCTTATTCCACTGGATCTAAGTGAAAAATCAAGCAGAGATGAGTTTTGTAGTAATAGTGCTACTGAATCTATGAAGGCTGCGTTGGTTATTCATCAGTGTCCCTATTGTAGTCATAAAACTTTTTATCCTGAGGTTTTATGGATGCACAAAAGAATTTGGCATAAAGTCAGTTGTAATTCCATGGCTCCACAGTGGGTTCAACAAAATGGGTTTAAAAATTTGAAAAATAGTGTGCTGTTTCTTGTCAGAAGCGGACGCACTGGTCCCCCTCCAGCACTTGGTGGCAAAGACTGTCCACCATTGCCCATTGCCAGGTTCACACGTACTCAGATGCCTAATGTGCCTTCAGCACTTAAAGGCAGCCCTTCAACAATGGGAAACACTTCAAAGGCTTCTGGTGGATCTCGTGGGTTTAATGGACCTAAATCAATGAGCTTCAATGCACAACGACAACCCAAGGTGGCACATGCCCAGGAGCAATACAGTTCTGTGGTACAACAGCCTTTGTCAAAGACAAAGCATGATTCAAGCCCTAAATTGACCCAAGCTGGAAGCTACAGCAGAAGTCACACACCCGCTCAAACATCTGTATCAAGACAAATTCTGCAGCCTTCTAGTAGTAAACAAGCTGAAAAATACCTAATTTCCCAGGGAGCGCATAGCTATGCATCTCCAAATAAACTTTCTTTGCCTGATGCGATTAAAACCAAATTCACATTGTCACAACCACAATTTTCATTTCATAAAGTAGATCCACATGTTAAACAGGAGAGCCCTCTAGTGCCTCAAAGGGAATCTCAGGCCAAGAATATAAATGAAGTTGGAACAGCGCCCAACTCTAGTGCTGGATCCAAGTCAAGCCCTGTTTTGCAAACTCAGTCAAGTGCAACGGGTGCCTCTTCGCCTTTTCAACCAGTAAAACAAGAACCAGCACCTGAGGGCCACGAAAAGAAACTAGACATTTTAAATATTTTTAAGACCTACATTCCAAAGGACCTAGCTACACTGTACCAAAGTTGGGGAGCCAATAACAATAATTTGGATAATGCAGGTAAATTAATTTCTTCTGCTTTAAAATGGTGAATTGTTAAAATTGAGACATTGAATATGTGTAATGATATTAGATCTAGCTCCAAACTAAATGAATTGTACAATTTTAATGTTTTGTAACCTTGCTATTTTGGCTTTATAATATGAATCCTTAGGACATTCCAAAGTTATCTAAATATCTGGGGGCAGCCACACATCTGCCGATAAGTGGAGGGTTAGCAGTCAGTGAACTTTTGTATAGGTCACTCTGTACTACTTGAAAAATTTGTTAGCTGGCCTGCACGTTTCCTGCCTTATTAGCTTACCTTTTTAAAATGTTTTATACTGTTTTTGTACTGTTATAGTTTGTAAATCACTTGCATATATGCAATAATAAAGTGTTGGTGTATTTGACACGTTACATAAAAACGTTTTGCTTGAAAGGTGTAAACCTGACAGAAGAGCCACAACCAGACAATAGACATGGCTCCACATACCTCTTTTTATCCTCAAAGCCAAGTAGCAGCAAACCACATTTGTTCTTTTGTCCTAATATATAGAAAATGCCTCCATCTATCTGCACGCTATGGCACACTAAAACACCAGCAAAGTGTTTGGAAAGTGGTCAGCATGCTTGCTCGTGGACTTTTGTAGAGGCTTTTAGACCATGGTGCTGGATGGAGACGCTGGCCAGAGATTGCCGATAGCCTTGCTTTTTTATTTATGCAAACTATTGTGCCCACAATATAGCATAGTACTGTTACATTTATCAACCATATTAAATACAGTGCAGTGTGGTCACTGAGCATTCAGTGAGCTTTGAAATGGCTCTGCAAATATGTTCTTTTGCTGTGTGTGTAAACTAGACCTTCGAGGAAAGCGTCAGATTATCAGTGATGATATGGAGTCCAGCTTCAAACTAAACTAATAAATGTAACCTTCTGTAAACTTAATATGGAAATGGGGTTCCGAAATGAAAGCTCTGGCTTCACCTTAAACCCAGCTACAGATGTGCATGTCTAGCAAGATTGATGTCACTTGGCATTCCCTCAGGATCACTGACGATCCTAAGGCCTGGTGCCAACAGTTTGCGCAACGCTTTACAATATAAAAAAGACATTACAATCCCAATACAAGACAAGATGGTAAGGAGGGCCCTGCCCCTGAGGGCTTACAATCTAAACAGTTGGCATTAAATGCAACAAAAATAGCCCCAGGGGAAATATATATGAACTATTCTTTCTTTCCTTTAAGCTACACAATTTGTATTACATTTACTGCAAACCTTACTCTTCAGAAAATTTTATTTTGAAAAAATTTGTTACCAAATTACTTTTTGCTTTACAAGCATTTGACAGGCTTCTTGCTTTCTTTCCTAAACACCCAGTAAAAAGCGAGAGGAAACTCCCCCCGAAGTAAATCTCAATCCTGCCTTTCATGGTTCTCCCCAAGACAGGATTAATTTCTCAAACCGTGAAATACCATGACTGTGTTTGAGCATGGTTTTCGACCATTTAGGCACAAGTCCAACTTCCTGTGAGGAAGAGGAGGTGGTTACGTGCTTGGGTTCACCCTAATTTCAAAGCATCGTTATCGTTTAAAAGTTTATATGCCAAACTTTTATATAACAGTACAAAATCATTTTGCAAATATGCATTTAATAAAGAGCAGGGTGGGGTACCAGTATTGTGCTAATTTCACCTCCCGGTACTGCCTGTTTACTTTTTGATTAGGTAAAAGTCCGTATGTGGTGGGGTGGCATGTCCGAGGGGGTACATGTCCTTTCTTTGACTCCTTCAGCTGTGTGAAGTGACCTGAACAGCAGAATAGATCAAATAAGACAGGGTATTCATAGCATAACAGTAAATCACTGCAGCAGACTGGCAGTTGCAGCCTTTAGCATCCCACCTACTGGCTGCAAAGGATATGTTTGAAATATCCAGATGTGATATTTCTTATTTACCCAACTAAAAAGAAAACCATTTTAAACCGTGTATTATTCTACTGCTGAAAATACAGTATATACAAAAACACTGTACATTGCTTTTACATCTCTATCGGGCATAATTTTAGCTTTATCAGCATTTTATACAGTAATGTTCAGGTTATAAGTGGGGCCTATTACACAGGTAGCTTAGACTCTCTTGCATTGGTAATCTCTTTTAAAGGAAACCTGTACTAAAATAAATATGGCTGCCTTTGCTGACCTGCCCTAAATACCTGGCTGCAATGCTGAACCAGCAGCTTTAATACTTTGATTCACTGACATGGAATAAGTATTCAGAGCAGGAGCTCTGTCTTCACTTGTTACATGCTTGTTTCAGGTCAATGATTAAAATAACACGGACACCATAAACAGCCTAGCAATTAGCATTTTTGGAAAGAGGTCAGCTGTGGCAAACTACATATTTCTCTCTACAGATATCCTTTAATGGCTTAGATGTGGTGGCTACTTCACTGGTAGCGGGCCCGTTTAGACAAAGCCGCTGGGTCTCAGTTCACATTTGTAAAGTCGACGGCCGGCTTTACAATAGAAGTGATTTTGGCGTCTCAGCTGTCAGGCGAGTCGCCAGACCTCCTACGAGCCTGGGACTGGCATCTCCGGTGTCGGTGGGAAGCTGTGGAGTAGAACAGTCGTTCACCGATGATCTCCCCGCACTATGATACTTAAATGGGGAAAAGGGGGAATGGGTAGAAACGGTGTTTAAAAGGAGAGTGCCACACTCCTGGTTTTATGTTGCAAAAAAGAGGGTATTTTGGAGATTGGGGTTTTTTAGGCACTCGAGACAATAGTTTAATATAAAAATTAGAACTTTAGAACTCCCCGCACTATGAGACTGGGAGAGATGCAGGTTACATCATTTCCGGCCCCATAGCTGTGTGATCTGCACTTCAATAGCTTATTTAAAGTGGAAAGGTGATACTAGGGGTTTTGGACCCTCAGTATCACCTTAAAGGAGTACCTGTCACTGCCAATCTGCTATCACATGGGGGGCTTGTAAGCCCCCTTATGTGATGGCAATTAAAGTAAAGTTTTTTTAAATAATACTAAATTAAATAAATTAAAAGATAATTAAAAACATTTTTTAAAGGCCCCCGCGAGCATGCGTGTTTTCGCATAAATACACCTCGGATGCGCCTACGTATGAAAACGACGATCGCTCTACACATGTTGGGTACTGCCGTGCACGCCTAAATGACAGCAATAATTCAAGGGCCAATATTTGTGGATCTCTAAACTGATGACCGTTTAGGGTCCTTTAAAGCGGTGTCTATGGACTTTTTGGGGTACTGAATTTTGTCGCAGTTTCACGGACGCACACAATTTTTAACCTGGGCATGTTGGGTATCTATTTACTCGTTGCAACATTATCTCTTATATTCTATAAAAAAACATGGGTATTTCATTGTGTTTTTGGGCATTTAAGTGCATTTTTCACTAAGTTTTGGAATTGCGCTAATATCGTGCATACATAAAAATTTGCAACTGCCACCATTTCATTCTACAGGGTCTTGGCTTTCAGATGATATATAATGTTTGGGGGTGTTTCAGAAGGAAGGACAGTGTCAGCATGAATTCAGAGAGGATTTGAGGCTCGATGGCGGAGTGATACACAAATAAGCTACATTTTTGTTAATAGGGTACTTGAATGCATTTTTAAGGTTTAACTCCTGAGTTGATTGTCACTTTAAGTCTAACTCAAGACCGCAAGGCTTTAATTCTGGCCTCGGAAATCAAAGAAGGATTGTTATAGTGCTGGCCATACACATGAGAAATTTCCTCCATCCACACTAAACATGTGGATGGAGGAATCTCCCGTTGTAGCTGTTTTATTCTGACCCCAGCCTGGTGCGTTGGCTGTAGTCACTGTTCTGCTTAAGCTTTTAGTCCCCTTCTCCTTCGACAAAACTTGATTGAAGAATCGACTTCTGTCTAGCTGCCAGGGCCACCCACTATAAGAATTTCTGCTGATTCCAGTTAATGGAAATTCTCACAGCGTATGGACCATCCCTTACAAAAAGGAGTGTTGTGTTTTTTGTTTTCTTTATATTACTCTGTTTTTCTGTCTGCATTAGAAAACTCAGCAGTGATGTATGTTCCGACGTCATCATACATTTTTTTTATCATAACAGTGCTTTAATAATGAGCTATTAGAAGCCACCTGCAAGTTAGAAGATATACATTACATCCATGTCTTGCATAAATTATCCTATTTTTTTATTTTACCTTTCACTCTCGTATAAAGAAAGTCATTTGAGCAAGATTCATCTCAAATGCAGTCTGAAACACTGAACAGATCTTGTAATGTGTTAAAACAAGCTGGAAGCACACAGCATGTTGTTTCTGGGGGATTCTATTTAACAGCATCAAATAATATTCAGAAGAAAACTAAAAGTCAGACATGTCTTTCTCAATCAGCAGCAAAGACAACAGCTAGCCCTTTAAGTCAGATGTTGTAAACTGACCTTTAAAAAAAGGAAGGTCTGAGTAGTTTTCCACAAATGCTAATGGCCCAGAAAACATGTTTACTAAAGGCAGGAAATAGGACTTTAATGCTGCTACTGTCTCAAAGCATCCAGAAAGACACTCTCATTCTCAGTTGTCTTTAGTCTGTGCCTCGCAGGTCTAGGGTCAAAGCAGCACCAGCAGGCAGATAGGTAAGGGCTAAAGGTTTGATCAGTCTGTGATGGCTCCACTCACTCTGCATTTATCTCCAAGGTACATCAGCCCAGGGGGGACAGGCGGGCTCTGGTTCTACTCATTTTCTATTATCCATGTGACTAGTCTCTGGCATGCTGGAGTCACTTTGATTTGCTTGATACACTGCTTGACAAAGCTGGGTGATGGCTGAAAAGTGGATCCAGCTGCTCTGAAAAGCGCACACCTGACATGCCAGTCCTGGTGCGGGCACATCACGGGGAGCGGTTTTTAATTCAATGTAATTTATGCATTTTCGCAGTCCTGTGTGTGCCTGGTTTGTCATCCCCAGCCCAGATGAAGGCTGACAGTTGTCATCTAGGGCCTGAAGGTAGCCTCACATAATGACACATTAGACATACTAATGATGTTTTCTTCCAGCATAATGTTTTCTTCTCAACTTCTTCTTTTTTTTTTCTTCCCTCCTCCTTCCTATCAACCAAAGGATTGCTTAGGACACAGGCACGCCAAGGAGATTATGTTTGCATCGAGTGTGGAAAGTGTTTTACCCAGCCAAGCCATTTAAGGACCCACATGAGGTCCCATACAGGTAGATCTTACTCTTAATTGTCTCTATTTTAAAATGTCAACATTTGTACTATTTGCAAGACTAACCTGCTTGAAAAATAGCTGTTTGTTGCTTTGGCTTTATGTATATACTTGCATTTTCTGTCTTTTCAGAATTCAAAGGGAAATTTGTATTGGTTTTGAACTGAAATAGTTTGTAGGGCTGTGATGGGATTTAATTAGATTTTTTTGTCCTAATAAGGGACTTTGTATTAATAGCAGAAGAGATTTCAATCTTGGCTGAGTTTTAACTTCCTGCGGCTGCCAAAGAGTTAAAGCCATCTGTTGAGACGTGTCAGCTATTCGTTCCTGTTGGTGATTCAGGAGAAGAATTTCTTTTTGATGGGAAAGGTTAACAAAAGACGGCAATAATTATGAATAAATATGCAAGTGATTCATTTTGCCACAAGCACACCGATATGTAGCTACTCATTTCTGCATATCATTAACCCCTGTTTTACATGATCATCTCCATTCTCACCTTATGACATTTTCCTTTATGGGAAAATGCCCTCTCTAGTCCCGACAGTGATAATTGAAACATAATTAACACAGCCATTTAATATGCGTTTAAACCTAGGCCAATTTATTTGTTGCTCTTATTACACTGAACTAGGTAGAGATGAAATGTGCTATGAGCAGTCTATGACAGCTTTAGACTAGTGGGCTTTGGTGCAGAAGTGTGAATGATGCATACATAAGGCATTCTGATGTGAAATGACAGAGGCCAAATGGTAAGTAATGCAAGTAGAGGGTCCCTTTATACACAGACTGATAATTAATGTTGTCAGTGATTGCTTTCTTCAGCACCAAAATCTGAATTAAAAAGGGCAGTGGCCTTAGGCTGCCATTAGCACACACTCTCACTGAAAGTGTTACAGTAAATTGGTATGTACTGGCCACAGGCAAGTAGCTGGTGTCTTCTTTTTTTTTTGTTTCTCCTCCCTTCCCTGTTTAATGTGGTTAAACTGTAATGGTCTCAATGATGTACACACACTAACTCAAGCTTCAATGCTCCTCTGTTTAACAAGACCCCTTGTTCCCACAGTGGTTTTTGAGTCTAATGGACTCCGAGGTACTGAAGTTCACACCACCTCCGCAGATGCCCCAAAACAAGTATGTTGTCAATGAATTGAGTGTTTGGTTTTTTGATGATTGCTGGGGAGAAAAGTGGCATAGCAGTACTCCTCAGTAAAGCACTGACCTTTTTTTATCATCAATGCCAAGATTATCTCTTGTATACTGATGCACAATGTGAATATTCAGCCTCCCCAAAACTTGAACAAGTGACCGATCATGCACAATACACTTTTTGTTAACTGAGAAATCCTCCTTATAAATACATATTCTATATTTTATAAATGGAGGAAACCTGTCTGTGTTTTTCTGAAGAGTATACTTTTCCAGTGTTTGCACATGAACTCTATAGAGCAATGCCTTACCCTTACCTTCTGAGCTTCTGTGGACTCTGTATGGTGGTGTGCGTTTCTCTTTCTGATGTCCAATGTCTTCTGTCTTAACAGACTCTTTTCTACTCACTCCTGACTTCTAGCCTACTTTTTCCTGTAGAAGAATGTGAACACACTTTCTTGTTGAGTGAAATGTACCTGAAGCCATAGATGACCATAGTTGCACGACTAGTGTTTTTATTTTATTTATTTTTTAATCACTTGTAAAGACCTAAAACTTTTAGAAACCTGCCATGTAAAAAGCACAAGCAAATAACGTTAAATTTCCCTTATACATTTTAAAGAACCATCTCTGTAGAGTTATTTTAGGGAATTTATCACAACTAAAAAAAGTTTGTGATTTTTTTTTTTTTCCCCCCTGTTCATCCTGTGCCACGCCATGAACATTTACTATTCCTTGATGTCATTTTAATTCCGCTGGCTCAGCTAAAATGTAGTGCTATTCAAGAAATGTTGATAATTTTGTTGTGTGTTTTTTTTACCACTTATTAGCAGTAAGATTAACTTGCTCACTGAGCATAAGCTTAAATTCTTGCCTAATGGAACAGCAAGGGTCATAAATGTATGGCATGAATTACCTAGAAGGAAGCTCTTATAAATGTAAGGTCTCTTGTCCGACCATATCCAAAAACCAGCAAAATGTATTGCTTTGTAGTAATTGTTAACTTGGGTGCCAGTCAAAATATGTATGCTTCTTTTACAGTTGTTTGTATATGGTTTTTTTAATACCACTTTCCTCTTCCTGAATTGAAGTCTTTATTTTAAAGCGAACTTTGAAGGGCCCACGTGGTCCACATTCTATAGCCTCTGGCGTGCATGATCACATTTGCCCTCATATAGAAACTTGCTGGGAGTGGCAATCAAGATTTTAACGTAAAGGCAGTCCCTCAGTAACATACATCCAACTTACATACGACTCCTACTTAAAAACGGAGGCTATTACTGTACATCAAGGGTAGTTGTAATGCTACCACACTCGTGCCGCCGAGGAGTGCCCGCCTTTTTGGGTCTGGTTTGTAGTACTGTACGTACATTACAGGAAGTTGGCTCTTGTTAGATATGCAGACAGCACTCTTTTTCCGGGTCACTGTGAGGTTTTTTCAGCTGTATGTATTCTCATTAGAAAGATTTAATCTCACTTTCTGTCCTTGAGACAACAGGAAGTGAAAGGAAATCTACCCCTAGTAAGGGAAATTCACTCCTGTAAGAGTGATCATGGGGAAAAGGTGTCTCCACTGAAGCTTTATCACCAATCTTTGTTTCCACCACAACCCCAAATTTTCCAAATTTAATTGTCAGTCACAGAAACTGAGGTGAAATATTCTGAACACGGGCACACACAGCAAAACAAACTTTACAGGGGGTAAAACCCTTCCCTATGCTATCCAAAGCAAAAAAATATTTTGGCTGGAGTTACTTAAAAAATTTACCTGTTCCAACTTACACACAAATTCTACTTAAGAACAAACCAACAGAACCTATCTTGTTCGTAACCCGGGGACTGCCTGTAGATATTACTTGAGGCACACTCATATGAGCACAGATTTAAAGGAGAACTATGGGGTTAAGTCTTTTCCCCATAGTTCTCCTTAGGGTGGGAGTCCAGCCCCTCCCCTGCCACGGCAGAGAGCCGTGACAGGATCGAGAGGTGAGCGAACGCCGGTATGTGTTCGCTCACCTCCCGATCTACTGGGCCGAGAAAAGCACTCACCTCACAGTTCTCCTTTTAAACAATTATTCTTTCATGCCAATGCCTCTTCCTAGTACTGTGCTCCTCTACAGCAGGCAAGATGTCTGTTGGGTTCCAGGCAATTACACAAACCATGTTCTTTTTTTGAGACTTCTCTTTCCTCAGGATATCTTCATGGGCATGCTTGGTGTCCTGCCATGTTATGCATATTTGGAGATGGGATTTTTTGTTTAGCTCAGTGCAGAACAACCCCCCTCCTTACAGCAAGGATGGATGCAAGCATATTGTCAGCCCATGTAGTTGGAAATAAGATTTACGTCAACCCATCATATTGTCCTTTTCAATAGGCTGCAGAAGGAGTACATTATGTATGTTAAATCATGCCTGTAATAGAAGAAACACTATACACAAATTTCCAGTGGCCCATTTGTTGGCATCTTTGCTTCTCCTTGGGCACTGAAAGCATTTCACCAGCTGGATGGATATTCCCACTGTCTCGTATGTCACTACAGGCGGTACCAGCTAGCAGGAGGAACCACTGCGCGCAATAGGGAAACCCATCCAGCCGTTTGAATACTTGCAGCGGCTTGCAAGAAGGAAAGAGGCAGCTTATCAACAAATGGACTGCTGGAAAAGCAAGTATAGACCACCTTTTATTAGAGGTAGACCACCTTTTTATTACAGGTATGCTTTCACATGCAAAAGGTACTTGGCCTGCAGCCATGAAAGATGCCGATATGATGGGGTTTACTTGATTAAAAATACATCTTGTTTCAAAACAACATGGCCTGACAATGTGTATGCATCGACTGTATCTTTGTTGTTATCTATGTTGTTCCTGACCACCGCTATAGGGTGCGTTGTTTAGACAGGAGGGTTTCGGCATAGGGTCATAATAAAATGTATTTTCACTTTTGCAGCCAAATTGGGATAACGCCTATTTTATATAGGTGTTATATTTCTCATTTGCATACTATTAGGGCTGCAACTAATGATTATTTTTTTCGATTGGATAAAAAAAAAAATGCCATCCTTAATTTAAAATAAAATACACAAATACAGTTTTACAAACATAAAGTTTACTTCAGAATAACACGGCATGCACAATTTTTTGCAATCGCACTGCACTGGAACGCAGTTAAGACTTAAGAGACACAGACAACTTAGAGACAATTCTTATGAAGGCATTTAGGAGTAAAACATAAACTATGATAATATATCTGTTGTTATATCCCTGGTGTCTAGTGCATGTAAGTTTAAAAGACTGATGATGCAACCAAATTGATCCCCCCC